AGAGACAAGGAGCCACCTCTAACAGACTCACTTAGTTGATTCTGCATAAAAAATGTGGTCATGGAAGATGCGTGACTGCCTCTGGGGCATAATCTTGCTCCCATTCACAGTAGAAAATAACTTTTGGGAAAAGCTATTTGTCCAAGGTGAGGAGCCATCGAAAATGATACTAATTTTTATTCTAGGAAATGGGCAGGGCTTTATTGCATGGGATAAAGGCAAGTGGTGTTTTAAGGAAAAGAAGAAAAAAAATCAGTGGCTAAAACAAAGCATTAGTATCTTTTCCAAAGCTCAGTTCTCCACAAACACATGTGGTTTCAGGTGACTTGGATACTTACCTCTACGCAAGTTTTTTTTTCTCTTCCCTAGTTTTCTGTCTGGAGTTTGTCAAGACATGCTTTTTTTTTTTCTACTTGAAGTTTTATTTATTTTGGAAAGCAAAGTAATAATAAATAATAAATAAATAATAAATTTCCTGGGAAGTGTGTAAAGGATATCTCCTCCCAGTATTTATGTGAATAAACACATTCTCCTTAGGACACAGCAGTAACAAGTTGAGCTGTTAGGTTTAAGTTTCATTTTCCTGGACTGGGAGTCCACCGAGAAGTAAAATGCCGTATTATCTCCCCAAGCCATTCCTCAGGCAATTTGTTATCCTAAAGAAGAATCATTTTTAAATTAAATACTTTGTTTTGGCCAATAAATTTGAAACATACAGAAAAGTACACAATTATTAGAACCATCATTTATACTCCTCACTCATTATTAACATCTTGGCACAATTGCTTGTCACTTTTCTTTCACACACACACACTCTCTCTCTCTCTCTCACTTGTATGAACATCACTTTTTTTTTTTAACTTCGTGACAGAATTGATCAGAATTCTGCAGTCCTAAATCAATGTATGGCCTACGATCAGAGATATTACTTAACCCCAGTGCAATTACTATCAAATTCAGGACATTTAATATGGAAACAATTTTCTAATACTCAGTATTTAAAAATCTCTAATAGTCAATATTCAAGCTTTGCTAATTATCCTAATAATGTCCTTTATATCAACCTTTTCCCCCACCACACATACAGAATTCAAGTCATAATCTCATTCATTGAGATTTTGTGATAATTAAATGTTGGCAGGGATGTAGGGAAACTGAATCACATACATATTGCTGGTAGAAATGTAATGTGGTATTGTTACCCTGGAAAAAAATTTGGCAATTTCCTGAGAGCCTAGAAATAATCCTTGTCTAAATGGACAGTTATTTTATGACAAAGGAACCAAGAGTATAAACTGGAGAAATCAAAGTCTCTTCAACAAATAGTGTTGGGAAAACTCAAAATCTCTCTGCATTAGTTCTTAAAACTGCATATCACAGTTGTAAGAACTAATGCAAAGAGATTTGCATCATCCGGCTTTGGAATTCTTGTCTGGGAAAGTTTGGGACAATAATTTATTAAGCTAAATTAAAACATTAGGTCAATATTATTGAACTGTCAATAATTTATTAAGTCAAATAGTTTATTTGTTCAAGCCAGCACCTGCTGATAGGCCCTGCCCTCCTTTTTTTTTTTTTTTTAAAGATTTATAGATTTATGCATACAAGAACTGGGGTACAGGCCAGAGATGCAGTGGGTGAGAGGATTCACCAGGGACAGAGTGGGGAGTAGAAAAGGCAGATCTACTGATACACACTGCTGAGGGGAACAGCGGGAGAGACGGAGAGGTGGAACTCATGTTGCAGTGGCTGCGGATTGCTTCATAGTGCTGCGTCTTAACCCCTTGCGCCACCAGGGAGGCCACCTGACCTCCCTTTCTTAGAGGATGTACTAAAAAGGGCTTACCACAATGACTCCCTTCTCTGTCCCTATGAAATGTGTCTGTATCTCCTACAACTCAAGACCCTGAGTCATTCCTTGCCTGGTAACCATCAGGGAGGCTCAGACCTCTGGACTCCCATTCTTTGTGGGAACATAGAATTCCCACTTGTGTAATTAACAGTTAGTAGATTCATGGCCTAGTCACATACACACTGACCAACCCTTTGTAAATTTCTGCTTGAGCTTCACCTCATTCCCCCTGCCTACAAATTCTCCCTTGGAAATACCCAGCCACCTCTGTGCCAATCAAAATAGAGCTCAATTCTTTCTCTTACTGTCAGTAGTTACTGAATAAAATCTGTTTGCTTGGCTTTAATTAATATCTGGCTTTGTTTATCTTTGATCCCCAACAACATTCACCCAATGATTTTAGGATCCACGAATGACCTATCCTGCTCCATCTATATTTGTTAATTAGTGTTCTACTAAAAAGAACATTTCCTTCTCCTAACCCCTTGGTTTTTTGTTTCTTTGTGTCAGTATGAGCTCAGCATTCTTTTTCATTCAATGTGGACTGTCATCACTCCAGTTGACTCTCATAAGGATGAGTTAAGAACATTGTTTCAACCTGGTTTCTATGTCCTGTGATATTTCCTCCTCATTTTTTGAGAATTTCATGATTTCCTCATCACTGTCTGGCACAAGATGTGTCAGGTTCATTCCCGAAATCAGCCAGTTCTCTAACAAGTCATGATTTCCTATAGATGGCACTGGTATTGAAAAAAACAAGAGATTTGTACTGAGCACTAGAGATTCTGATTGCTCCTGGGCTCATTGCTTCAGTTCTTTTCAAAAGAAGAGCTAGCGGGTAGAATTTTTATTTTTTTAAATAACATGAATTCAAACTGAAGTCTCTTAATTCCCTTCCAATTTTGCAATATTATTCAATGTTACAGGGTTATTCCTTGCTCTGTTCCATTCCATAATTGTAGGTCCCTTCTTTCACTGGGAGAACCCTTGCTGCCATTAACATCAATTTATTTGTTTGCTCCACCTGATAACACACAGTAATTTCAGAAGAGCTACAGCCACACCTACCAACAGCAAATATATAAAGTTCAAGATTTATTTGCCATTCTTTTTATCTTTACACAGAGATACAGTATTGTTTCCAATACTGTGAATTAGACTTTTTCTTCTCTTGCTTGTGTCCCTGGAATAAACCCCACTTGGTCATGGTGTATGAACCTTTTAATGCGTGGCTGGATTTGATTTGCGAAGATTTTGTTTAGAATTTTTCCATCTATGTTCATCAAGGAGATTGGTCTGTACTTTCCTTTTTTTCATCTGGTTTTGGTATTAAGGTAATGTTGGCCTCATAAAATGTGCCTGGAAGAGGGAATACTTTCCCTCTTCATATTCTGGAAGAGATTAAAAGGGCATGCAGTGGCTCATCTTTGAAGGTTTGGTAGAATGCACTAGTGAATCTGTCTGGTTCTTTGTTTTTTTTAGGATACTTTTTTTAGGATACTTTGTTTTTTTTAGGGAATCACCCACTTTCCTATTCATCCTCTTTCTGGCAACCCTTATCCCAGTTCTGGAATTCACTACCTGCATTTCATGAACAAAGCCAAGAAGCTTCTTTTCTCCTGTCTACCCCGCACTGAACAGGGTAGAGGAACCCAACCCCGTGACTGGACAGAGACCAGCCAAATGAAGAAAAATGGGAGAAACGGGGGTGAAAGTCATCCCAGGCCCTTTTATCTTTCTCTCTCACACCCTTCTTTCCTCACCCCGCTTAGACTTTACTTCTGTGACTTTGTTTTAACCAAATTCACAAATTTCTGGAGGAAAGGAATGTGCCATAAGTGATTTACCCGGCCCTGGCTTTGGCCAAGGGATGTGTTTTCTCTCCCTAACTAGGTCATAGTTATATACTCAGGAAGTCCTTTGAGGCTTATCTGAAATCCACCGGCAGGTCTCTAATTTCCATCGAGAGGATATTTGTCCTTTCCTGATAGGGCTGGCAGCTCCTCACCCTTAATCTGACACAGCTAAGTTGGTTCAACGGTGATTACAGAGAAGGGAGGTCACAAAGGTCAGGAGATCTGGGCCATTCATTTTAGTACTATGATCTCCTTCATGGGAGAGCAAGAACGTGTGGGGTCTCTGCCAACAATCCTCTAGACGTAATTAGCATCACTTCTTACCTAGTCTTTTCTTGGAATATTTTATTCCATTTTTCTCAAGGTGTCCAAGGAATCTTCCAAGGGATAGAAACATTTAGGGAAAGTCCGCAGCAAGATGCACATTTAATGCACATGGACCCACAATGGGCCCAACCTTGCCTATCTTGCCAATAGAGTGAGAAACACAGACTTCTGATTTTTTTTTTTTTAAATCCTGCGAGAGTTGCCCATTTCAGGGAAGAAATCTATTAACTCATCCTCTCATTTGTAAATGATGTAGACTTTTGTTTCTCCCCGTCTGTCATTTTATCCCTCATTCAGTAGCTAGAACCTGCTAGAACCACAGGTACCAGGGGATGGATACAGTACGGGGTGGACAGGAGAACGGGATTAGTGGTCCCTACTGTCTGAGCTCCAACTCTTCCTCTTGCTCCCACAAAACTCCCTAGGCCTCAGTTTCTTCATCTGAAAATTTGCAGAATGTCCATTCTGAGCTTGTTGGAAGGAGTAGCGATAAGGTATGTGTGTGTGTTTATAGAGAGAAAGGGTAGCCGATATCCTAATAAAACCTTCCAAAGGCTTGTTTCACTTAGAAAAAGCCTCCTGACTCTGGCCTGTCAGGCGGAACAGGCTGTGGCCCTGCGAGGCTCCGGCCTCTCTGTCTCTCACCGTCCTCCAGGCACGAGTGTCCTCCTTTCTGTCCTTCAGACACTCTGAGCTTGTCCCCACTTCTGTGTTGGCCCCTCTCCTAACACCACGACCCCAGAACGTCACGTGTCAGCACTTTCCTGTCGGGTCTCCCCAAGGGCATCTCTGACCCCTGCAGTAAAGGAGGGGCTGCCAGGCCCTTCCTCCCGTCACCGATGTTATTTTACTTCACGTCACTTGGCATCACCTGAAGTGATCAAGTTCATGTTTGTGTATTCACAAGGGCAGGGGAGAGTCTGACTGGTTCTCTCGCTCCCACTCTCAGCACAGTGCGACTCCCCGAAGCCCAGATCTTTCCCTGCCCTGTGTATTTTACCATTCCCCGGCCGCAGACTATGTTTTCAGGTGGACACAGCCTCATCTGGAATTGAAAACCCTGATGATGCCTCCTCCCACATGTAACTCGGCTTCCCCCCCAATCCAGAGACCACGACTCTCATTTTCTTTAGTGACACAAAACTGCTCTTCCCCAAGGGAGGGTCTCCCAGAGCTGAGCCCCCAGTTCTGACCCAGTCACCCATGGGTGCTGGCGTAGGATACCCTCCCTCCTGTCAGCCCAGGGTTACTCTTGGGTGTGAAATGTGCTTGCAATGGAGCAGCGGAAATAAAGAGACACAGCCAAGGGGATCGTGTATATTTAAAATTCCTCCCCTTCGTTTTCTTCTTCAAATGAGTCAGTCCCCACTTCTTCATAATCCTTCTCCAGGGCAGCCAGGTCCTCTCTGGCCTCAGAAAATTCTCCTTCCTCCATGCCCTCACCCACGTACCAGTGAACAAAGGCCCGCTTGGCATACATCAGGTCAAATTTGTGGTCCAGGCGGGCCCAGGCCTCGGCGATGGCCGTGGTGTTGCTGAGCATGCACACAGCCCGCTGCACTTTGGCCAGGTCTCCGCCAGGGACCACAGTGGGAGGCTGGTAGTTGATGCCAACCTGAGGAACAGAGAAATGGAGCAATAAGAGATGATGGAAGGCAGATAACCGCCTGGGTGACATAGCATGAAGGCAAGACATGGTCGTGGGTGCAGGGACAGGATCGCAGGACTGAATGTGGAAAGAGGGTATATCGGGAGGTGGGAGAGCAGGCAGGTAGACAGAGGTGAGTATTGAAGAGAAAAGTGGGCTGGATACTGGCAAATTCAAGAGGAAGGCCTGGGATACCTAAGAACTGGAAGAGAAAAGGGGAACTGGGCAGATAATTAGAAATATTACTGGGGACAAATAAGGGTAATGAATACAACTATCAAAGGGGAATTATGTAATACATGTTTATCTCTGAAGGGGAAGTCAACTCACTTTCTAGACTTGAAGTTTTTATAAAGTGTATTCTTTGCTGGGTGGCAGCCTGTAGTTCCTCTTTTGTTCCTGAATTTAGGGAACTTTCTCTGCCAAAGGTGACATGCTGCTTGAAAGTTCATGGGATTATCCCAGAGCATTAAATTAAAAGGTCCAGGACCTCCCTGGTGGCACAGTGGGTTGAGCACAGTGCTGTGAAGCTGTCTGCAGCCTCTGCAGCGCTGGTTCGATTGCCGGCCGGACAGGGAGATTCCCACATGGCGCGGCAGACCTCTCCTGTCATGCCTGCTGCTCCCCTCAGCAGTGCTTTTGTTCTGTCTGCCTGTTCTGCTCCCCACTCTGTCTCTGGTGAATCCTCTCACCCTCCCGCGCCTCTGGCCTGTACCTTGGTTCTTGTATAAATAAAAATAAATCTTTAAAAAAAAAAAGGTCCAAAGGTCAGAGGGATAAGTGTTAGTACTACATCAAACTCAAAAACTTTGCGTGGTAAATATACCATCATTAAAACAAAAAGAGCTCCAGGAGAGTGTGAAAAAACATTTGCACATCTTATGTCCAACATGGGACTCTTATAAAAATCTAGAAAGAACTCATATAACTTAACAACGAGAAAACAAATATCCCAGCCAAAAAATGGGCAGAAGACCCTAAATAGACACTACTCCAAAGAAGACATACAGTTGCCCAACAGGGGTGATTGTAAAAAATGTTATCACTTATTCTCAGGGAAATACAAACCAAAATCACAATGAGATACCATCTCAATCCTGTGAGAATGGCCTGCTTCAAAAAGATCCTAAACAGCAAATATTGGCAAGGGTATGGAGAAAAAGGAACACTACAGTGTGGGTAGGAATGCAGCCTGATCCAGAGCCTGTGGGAAACAGCATGAAGATTACTCCAAATATTAAAAATGGATCTACCATAGGGCCCAGAAATTATACTCCTCAGTACCTACGTGAAGAATGTGAAATCACTAATTCAGAGGGACACATGCACCCCCAATGGAAACAACCTACGTGTCCAACCACAGAGCAGTGTCTGAAGAGGGTGTGGCATATGTGCACAATGAATACTACTTGGGGATTAAAAAAAAACAAACTCTTGCCGTGTGCGGCAATGTGGAAGGAATTAAAGGGAACTATGCGAAGTGAAGTAAGTCCGAAGGAGAAAGACAAATCGTCCAGTAGGATGATTTCACTCATCTATGGACTATAAAGAAACAAATGAACAGATAATACTTAACCAAAACAAACCCTAGCGTTAGGACTGCAGACCTGAGGCTGCCAGAGGGAGAGGGTGGGAAACAAAGTGGGCCAGGGGTTGTGGAGGCCGGGGGGAGGCGTGATGGACTATGTGGGGGATTATTGGGGTTTTGGTGGTGGGCGTGGTGGGTGTAACATATATCTGAAGCAAGGACACTTGTATCCCTAAATTTTATACAGTGCTGTCACCTCCATAAAAGATGATACAATTTTTTAAATAAATAAAGGAGGTGAGAATAAATAAGGTGCCTAGAGTCACCGCTCCTCTTTTGAACAGATCTTGCCTTGACCTGAGTCAAGTGGGGACAGATATCCTTGGGAAGGATGCAAGAGGATGACCCCCCACCCCCACCCCCCGGCCATAGCATGTGCCTTTCTGAGAGGCAGCCAAAGAGGCTGGCGCTGTTTTATCTTTCTGGACTAGCCCCAGAGTGTCAGCTTAAAATAAGAGGCAAAATGAGGAGGCAACTCCTGTTCTGTCAATTTTCTAATCACCCTCACCTCTTTTTTTTTTCTACTTTTTTATTACTCATTTTCCTGCTAGCTTCTTGTTGTTTTTTCCATTTTTAAAGCTCTTGCCTATTTTCACAAGAATGACCAGAACTGCCACATAAAAATAGGCATAGTCCAAAACAAAGATGATCTATGTAGCACGGAGCCGAGCAGTGAGGCAGAATGCGAGCCTCCCTTACTCAGCAGAACAGCTGGGTCAAAGCATCGTATGCAAATAAGTCAGCCAAGAGGTTGGCAGGTATATGGTGCCTTATTTTTGTAAGTTCCACCAGGGAAAAGAGATGTTCTGTATCTCTAGCACCTGCTACAACCATTCCTGGGGCTCAGTATACCTCTGAATTATTAAAGGCGTAACTGGGGGTGGGGGTACTGATCAGTGTAAATGGTGGTAGATGTTTTGATGGAGGGGTCTTTAATCAGACCACAGGAGCACAGCGCGAGGTGGTCAAGCAGTTCCATGTGCAGGGCCGGCTGCGTGCCTTGCCAGTGCACATGGAAAGGGCTAGGGTTAAGGTGTGGCTTCTAACATTCAACATTCATTAGCCCTGGGATCCAGGCTACTGTCTATCTCCCCAGAATTTAGCATTTTCCAGACTATGGGCAGCTGATCTTTAACAGGCCACTTGGCTTCTTTAGCTTCTGCTCATTCCTGGTTAATGGAAAACGTCAGAGATTCATCGTATAAGTAGCCCACAATCATATAACCACCATAAAATGTTTATCCTAACTCTAAATTGATTAAATCTTACAGGGAGGATATTTAATCTTTCAAAATAAACTGGGAGAAAGGCACATCCTTCTTTAGAGGAGGGAATTATACATCCCTGGCAGTTGAACATATGTGGTTAACTCCATTTTCTGAACTGTTGTGAGATCACAGCCACTTTCACCCACTCATTCCACTTGCCCACAGCTGGTTCTTTCCAGCATCATCCTCTCCTCTCTATAAAAGAGATCTTTGCTGCAGGACCTTTGAGATATTTTTAGATCTTATAGTAGGAGTGACAGAAGAAATGAATGGTCCTCCTTCCTATCTTTCAATGTTCTTATGCAATAGAGTTTCTCCTCACCTAAAGCAAATGAATGAATGAAATTAATGATACATTTGGTTTAAGCCTCTCTTCCCATATATTCTTATAAAACATGAAGTTCCCATGGAATTATCACCCAAGGACCTTGGAGTTTACATCTCAATCTCCCCCATTTTTGATAATCTACCTCTCCCTCTCCAGTCTACCTCTTCTTGAAGTCATCAGCTCTCACCTTAAAGCCTGTGGGGCACCAGTCTACAAACTGGATGGTCCTCTTGGTCTTGATGGCAGCAATTGCAACATTCACATCCTTGGGTACCACGTCCCCCCGGTACAACATGCAGCAGGCCATGTACTTGCCATGTCTTGGGTCACACTTCACCATCTGGCTGTTGGGCTCAAAGCAGGAGCTGGTTATCTCAGCCACAGAGAGTTGTTCATGGTAGGCTTTCTCTGCAGAGATGATAGGGGCATAGGTGACCAGTGGGAAGTGGATGCGGGGATAGGGCACCAGGTTGGTCTGGAACTCGGTGAGGTCCACGTTGAGAGCCCCATCAAAGCGCAGAGAGGCAGTGATGGAGGACACGATCTGGCTGATGAGGCGGTTGAGGTTGGTGTAGGTGGGGCGTTCGATGTCCAGGTTCCTGCGGCAGATGTCATAGATGGCTTCGTTGTCTACCATGAAGGCACAATCGGAGTGCTCCAGGGTGGTGTGGGTGGTCAGGATGGAGTTGTAGGGCTCGACCACTGCAGTGGACACCTGGGGAGCTGGGTAGATAGCAAACTCTAGTTTGGACTTCTTGCCGTAATCCAGGGAGAGGCGCTCCATCAGCAGAGAAGTGAAGCCAGAGCCAGTGCCTCCCCCGAAGCTGTGGAAGATCAGGAAGCCCTGCAGGCCAGAGCAAGCATCTGTCTGGGGGCAGTAGCACAAAAGAAACCATGAAGACAAAGGCAGGCAACCCACAAATTTTCATGTGAGTAAAATCAAACAGCCTGGGAGGAGTAAGGAAGTGCAAGAATTTCAGTGATCTTGGGAAGACTAAAAACAAGGGGGTGGCAAACTGCACCTGGACAGTACATGAAAATTCTAGCCCAGTGACTTGGTTGAACCAGGAAGGAGTTTCAGAACCAAGTGGGTTAGTGACTCTGCCCATTGAGAGCTCCAGTTCCTTGCCTATGTCCCCTGCCCTTGTCATTTGATTTCTTCCCCCCAGACCCCAATTTTGCATTTCTATGATGCCTTTATAATGAATTCAAACAATTAACTACTGGAGAAATTTTTTAATGAAAAAAATGTGTCATTTGATTTCATGGGAACTGCTACCCATCTCAGCCCAATATTACCCCTTATCAGAACGAAAGCAATTCATAGAACCACAGAATCTCCCCACTGGGTATAAGCTATGATCATTCTGTCCAGTGGTTTTGAGCAGAAGAAGTGAACATATACAGACACGTGGCATCCTTAGCTCCAAAGTCAAGATCAAGTCCAACCTGAGCCATTGCACAGATGAGGAAACAAGGGCTCACATAAATAAAGCGACTCGCCCTACAACTTGGAGCTCTGACATCAAGTCCACCTGGCTCAGATGCTAACTCCGCCACTTCTAGCTATGGGACTTGGTCTGTTCTTGAACCATCCTGTCCTTCAATTTCTTCATCTGTCAACTCCAGGGAAGAGACCTCCTTCCTATCAGTCTTTTGATAGGAATGTGCTGAACTGACATTTGTAAAGGCGCTTGTAAGAACAGAATGCATCAACAGTCTCTTCCTCTTCCACGTTAAATGCTTTGTTAACCTCTGCTTCCTTATGCAACAGGGTGGTCCCCAAGAAAGGGGGAGGTTCGGGGTGCTCCTGTCCCTGCCCTGTATATTTATACTGCGGTACACTGAGCCTTCCTTACACCGCAGTTTCCCCAGACACCACCACAGAGTATCCAGTAAGCAGTAATCAGCTTTCAGCCTGTAGGGTCGTCCATGCTGTCCAGGCAGAGGCAGGGGCACCCTTCCTGTGAATGCTTCTGACCCCACATAGCCAGAAATTCCCGAATCTTAGGGTCTACCCCGAGCCAGCAGCCCTGTGTCTCTACAGCGCGCCCACGTTAACCTGACGTGCAGGCCTCTTGCCCCCGTGAACACTCACCAGCTTCCGTATGCGGTCCAGCACCAGGTCGATGCTCTCTTTACCCACTGTGTAGTGGCCCCGGGCGTAGTTGTTGGCTGCATCCTCCTTGCCCGTGATCAGCTGCTCCGGATGGAACAGCTGGCGGTAGGTTCCTGCCCGAACCTCATCTACCGGGAAAAGAGCCGTCAGGTCTTACTACCCAGCTTCCACCTGGCTTCCTACTGCTTCCCTCCCCGTGAGAACAACTGTGTGAGAACAACACCCCACATTTCCCCCTCCCTACCTGTCAAGCCCCCTCCATACCTGTCAAGCTCCTCTGAGTGTTTATAGACAGACAACCCTGTCACAAGCCCTGCAAAAAGCTAAGAGAATTTCCAGGCAACAGGGACTAGCAAAGCCAAGTCTGTGACTCTGGAAGGAACAAGGAGAAGCCAGTTGCTCTGCTGGCTGGAACTTAAAAAAAAAAACAAACCCTTAGTTACAAGGCTCACCAAACCCCCAAAACACCGTCTCTCCTTCCTTCTGCCTTGCCCTCGTTGAGGACCGCCTTTTGTTTTTCCTTTCATGCTGCAAGGGTACTCGAAATTTTAACCCAATTTCCCTAGCATTAAAATGTTCTAGGAACACAGAGAAAAGTTTGTTTCAGGATGATCTACCCACTTTCTAGACTCCCAGCAATTGTTCAACTCTAACCTCCACCACCAAGTGGTAGTGATAAATTCCAGGCACTAGAGGGCTCTTCAGATGACTTGGAAACAAAGCTGTGCTCCAGGTTCTAGAGCAGCAGGAGGCTTAGGGAGACTGTCAGGGGGCTCCAGCTCGGCTCCGCACACCTCCAGGGACACACAGGGGACACACCGCAGACCAGGGTGCTTGGGGCCCGACTCCATCCCTCCTCTTCAGGTCCGTCTGCTTCTCCCAGGGAAACAGCCTTTCACAGTGGTCTGAGGGCACTTTTGGTATTTGTACAAAGTATCCAAGGAATGGAGTACCGTGGCCTAGCACCCCTAGGAATTAGGCGCTACAGGCATTTACCCAGATGCCTCTATGGAATGTGTCCGTTCTTTGCTTGCTGGGCTAGCCTAGAAGCCCAGGAAACCCTAATGCTGGGCTGTGGGTGGATCCAGGGGTCAGAGCAGGGGAGTGGCACTGACAGGCATGTGGGAAAAGGGAATGACAAATCCTGCCCTGGCACAAGTCAGGGTGCTTGTTCTCCACAATCCAGAGGAGGTTCATTCTAGAACCCCAGGACCTCTGACCGGAAGATAATATGGCTGCTCTGTGTAAGATACTGCAAGTTTAGACCAGACCCGGAGTTATTATAGACTCAGAAACCTATACTTTGGGAAACTATTTGGGAGTCTCTGATTTCTCAAATTCTTTGCATTTTTCACTCTTAGTATCTAGCAGACGATCTTGACCATTTCTGTCTGTCTCAGTTGGCTTACAGGTTTTAAGTAGAAGGTGTTTGATTCTGCATAGTTTAGGGCTATGTGGGAAGCAGAAATTCCTGTCGCCTGTTGTGTCCCCCATACTAGAGAGCTTGAGCCACCTGGTGTGGAAGGGCTCTCGCAGACGACCCCGCCGTCCCTGCTCACCTACGACAGTGGGCTCCAGATCTACCATCACCGCCCGGGGCACATGCTTCCCGTTGCCCGTCTCGCTGAAAAAGGTGGTGAACGAGTCATCATCGTTGATCCTGTTGGCCTGGGCACCAAAGGTGCCATCCGCCTGGATGCCGTGCTCCAGGCAGAAGAGCTCCCAGCAGGCATTGCCGATCTGCACTCCTGCTTGACCCACGTGGACGGAGATGCATTCCCGCTGCGGGGACGGGCAGAGAGGTCAGCGTGGCCCCGGCCCTAGAGCCCTCACATCCGAGGGCTTGTCCCTCCCGCGGCGTTCAACATGCAGGCTATTGTCTATCCCTCCAGCCGTGCCCCCCTCAAACCTCGGGCAGGGGTGAGGGGATGGGACTAGGGGTTGGAGGTTCCAGAATCTGGGCACCTTTGTATTTGCACCAAGATTTGGCTTCAAAGAACCAGTTTTATGTTTTGCTCTAACGGTTACTTTTGAGGGCAAATCCTCTGTGCCAAGAAAAGGGGGGGAGGGCAATGATACAGGGGGGAATTCCAGACCAGGAGACTCCTGCTCTGATGAAGGAGCTCACAAGAAGAACCTGTGATAACACAGAAACTCTTCCTAATTCAGGGGCACACCCAGGGGAGCATTCACATTCACGTCTCTGCCCTGCCTTCCTAGACCACACACATGCACACACACACACACAATTCCAGAACATCACCGAGTAGATAAACACTATGGCAGGAATACACTTTGAAATACACTTTGAAATTCAACAGATCAGTTGAATGTTACTGATCTGTTACAAAGGCAGGAAAGGAGCAGTGCAGCAAAGGAGGGGCCGGAGGGTATGAGTTAGGTTCTTCTGAGAAGTTGGGAAAGTTCTTTGCATACCATAACCTTCTCCCTTACCTACGTCAGGCCAAGTGTTAAATAAAGCTGCCCTTTATCTCTGTGTGACTCTGGTGTGAAGCCACAGTTATCTGATTGGTCCTGATATGACAGCTTAGGATGGGGAGCGCGGGTGTGTGTGTGCGTGTGTGTCTATGTGTGGAAATTATCATGGAGTTTTACTAGGAGGATGACTCACCCCCACCACAGCCCACCTATGAGAAGCAGGGGTGGTGCAAAGTAGCTGTTCGGGTGCACCTGCCAGAGCCCAGCAGGGAAGAATTTGCCTGCCCTCTGGGTTTCTATTCTTATCCAGGACCTGACCTGTCCTTTTCCAGCTCTGGGTAACCTAAGTCAGAGCAGAGTCTCCAGAGAGTGTGGCTGGGCGTGGAAACACTTCAAGTTCACAATGGAGTAGGGCGTGCTGGGGACTGGAAGATTCTCAGGGCATGGAAGCAGGGCTGCTGCCCTAAGTAACTCGCAGGTGAGATGTCAAGACCAACCATTCCCTGTTTCGGTTTTAGAACGAGCACCCAATCTCCCCATCTCTGTGCCCTGGCTTTTGGGAAGGTCAGAGCGTAGGTGGACGGTTAGAGCAGCCGGTGTGTGACACGCCCTTGTCAGGACTACAACCCACGTCATCTCCAAGAGTCTGGTGGCCAGGATAAGGCTTCATGCGTGAGTCGCCCACATCCTGGGGTTTGAGTCATAGCTTCTCAATGGACTTCTGTGCTGTGCGCTGTTGGCTTAATGGACCAACTTCCTTCAGCTGGAAATAATAAGCTATTGTGATTGTTGTTGTCCTCATCATTATCATTTTCAATATGAAACTACCTCATAGCTTTATTTTCCACCTGGAAGCTTTATTCTCCACTTAGAAAGTTAGAAGCCTCAGGAAGCTAATCCGTTCACCTTTACTTTGGGGTCTATTTTGCCTTCACCTTAGGACTCAAGTTCAGACCTAGGAAAGCAACGTCCTATCTAGCAAGCCCCCCACGACAATTGGATCACTGGTGGACTGCATCTCCACACCCAGCACGCCGCGTGACTTGCAGGCAGCTGTGGTGTCTGAAGCTGATAAGGTACTGGAAACTCCTTCTAGGTAACAATGTGACCCTCACCCTTCTGAGTCTTGCGCCCCCTCATCACCACACCCAACCACTTGCTGGGCCTATCTGAGGGGCTGCTTGGTCTCCCGTCAGTCCTCTCTTCTGGAATGTTCTGGGCATTTTTGGCAAGGAGGTAGGGATGCTTTAGGAAAAACAAAGGCCATAGGAAGAAGAGTAAAGGCTCTTGGGGACTTGAAAACCACCAGTTTTGTGGTGAGAGCAATGCTTTGGGCCTCTTTCCATACTCCTTTTAATCTCATGCCAGCCTTCACAACCTGCTCTCCCCAACCCCTACACGCTAGCGGTGAGCGAATTGACAAAAGAAATGGAGACATAAAGTAGATTCTGAAGTAACTGTTTGGTTCATAGATGCTCCCAAAAGCCCACGATGGCTATATTAATCAAGATAAAAGGAAGTTCTCTCAACACCAGCCCCACTAGTGGATGTTTCTAGGTCTGGGGCAAGGAATATACTATCTTATAGCACCTGAAAGCACAGAAGCTGACAGATTGGCACAATAGCAAAAGATCCTCGAAATCTCCTTGAAGAGGATCCTACTGCCAGAGGGACCATCTGAGCATCAAAAAGAATAACACTAGATTGGTATAGGGTGTATATGGAAAAATCCACAAGTTCTTAGTGAATAATATTAAGAGAAAAGGCCCAGGAAGAAGAAAAAAAAAAACCAGCCTTATTTTTCCTTATCCAAAGGGCCTTATGGATGAAAGAAAATTCTTTTTTAACAAAAGAATGTCTGCTTTATCAATGTAGAATGAGTGATCTATTGAGAAATGCTGTCAAATGAAGTTTCTAAACATGATTGATTATGACAAGGATGCCTAACATTATAAAGTGAAAGGTTGATAGAGGACTGGATGTTCACACAGTGCCAAAAAATCAGTGCCTCACTGTCAGAAGAGGTAAAGATAACCACAATGATTACCAGCCCACCTCTAGGCTCAAGGTTAACACTAACAGTGAGAAAAATCAGACACTGGAAACCACCTGATGTGGTGCACTGTGTCATGCACAACACCCCCCAGGAGGAATTCTTGTCAAAAATATTCAGCCTTGGGGCCCTCCCTGGAGGCCTAGGGGTTGATCCCGGTCAGGGAACTAACCCACAAATGGTGCAGCAGACCTCTCCTGTCTCGCCCACTGCTCTCCTCAGCAGTGTATTTCAGTTGATCCACCTGTTCTGCTCCCCGCTCTGTCTTTGGTGAGTCCTCTCACGCCCACACCTGTGGCCTACATCCCAGTTCTTCTATGCAAAAAAAAAAAAAAAAAAAAAATTGCAGCCATAATCTAATACTCCCTTAGATTTAGTCTACACTTTACAGAAAATACAGGGGTCAGAAAGAAAAGTTTGGGACATCATGGAAAAAAAACAACAAAATAAATGGGATATTCTACAGACCAATCATTTTAATTCATGAAAAATAAAGTTGATGGGAGGAACTGTTTCATGTCAAAAGAAACTTCAGAAACATAACATCCATATGTAGTATATGGACTTTGAATTCTGGTTTGAACAAATCAAAATATTTGGGCGACAAATAGAAAAAAATGATTAGTATGTCAAGCATGATGTTGAAATTGGAGTTAAGTCTGAAAATGTCATGTTGTAAGGTCACTTGTGAAGCATTTAGGGTAAAGATCATGATGTCATTTCCTTTAAACTACTTCAACAAACACAGCAGGTAAAGTAAACATGGCAGGAAAATAGTAATTTCTGTTTAATCGAGAAGAGAGAGGAAAGTTTGAATTTTTTATACTAAAATAAAAAAATACTGAAAGAAATACAGGAGAGGGGGAGCAAGTCTCCACTCACCATAATTCCCTTATCCTGAAGGGCCCAGGATCTTCCTGTTCCATTTGACTTAGTCATTGTTTCAACTGACATTTACTAAGAGTCCAATTTGTGAGCGTGAACAAGAATTTTGAAGTTACATAAAGAAATCACAAGTGACATTACAAGTTACATGAACCCCCAGGGGACCCTAAGATCCATGCACATCCTCAGCAACCCTGGGGGACACAGGGAACAAGAATCAGTGCAAAGCTCCTCCGTGGGCCTCTCCAGGCTGCCCTTCTCCAGCCACTCTGTGATCACCCCCCGGCCCTCACCCCCAGCCTCCTGCCTGGGAACTCAACATAGACAAGCACTGAGCGATCTGATGCTGATGACCTGGGAGGACAGTCCTCACACCCAAGAAGGGCCTGCATTTATCCATCATAACCAGGGACATTATGTTGGCTCAGACTGTTTAGCATATTGGAGTAGGACTGGCCTCTTGGACCATTGAATAGAATTCACTTCCCTCATGATTTTACAGATGAAAATGCTGAGGTTCGGAAAGTTCCAGAGGCACATTCGAGATGTCACAGCTCTGGAGCAGAATAGGCTGCACCAGAACCCAGGTCTTGTGAAGCCAACCTCAACCTTTCCTTTGCATGACGCAGCCTGCTCCCCTGCACTCTGAACTTGCACGGCCTGAATGTGCCCACACCTACGTCAACAAAGGCCTAGTTTATAGAGCAAAACCCAAACAGAAAAAAGTTCCAGTAAGAAACTGAGGATGACTCAGTGTGGTGGCCTCCTTGAAAATGGATTATTTATCTCTGGCAGCACGAGGATTATTTATCTCGAGGCTGGTATAGCCGGGAAGATGGTGATCAGAGAGAAAGCTGACGCAGCAGACAATATTTATACATTTGCTCTGCGCTCTATTTCAGAGTCCCTTCTCTGGCCAGTGAGCGCTCATGCTCCCCTCTCACAGTTTTATTTTTAATCTGGGTTTATGGAGCTCAGACCAATTCTATGCTCCTGGGCCCTATGAGGTAAGGGGTCCCCTGTGTGCTGCTGGAGCCTCTGCCCAGGAGCCCAGTGGGTGAATATGAGGGAGATGGATGGACCTCACAGAGGTCTATCCCTTTCCTTTAGAAGAGTATGGCAGCCCCTCCACAAGCCTAGTGTTGGCGTAAATGCAACAGTTACCTGCTCTGTTCGTTCCCACAAGCATCTGTTGTGCTATTACGTGCAGCCAGGCATTGACAAGTGCCGGGCTGGCTCTTACTCACCCTCCCTGTGTCCCCAAGTTACTTCCTGCATGAAGCCTGGAAGACCAACAGCCATCAAGGGGCCCCCACTCTGTGCTCCCACAGTCCCCTTCTGCTCTACCATTGCATTCACCACACCACGTTATAGTTGTTTGTGCGGTTTTCTGGTTTTTGCACTGGAGAGTGTAAGTTCTCTAGGCCAGGAGCCCTGCTTTATTCACTGAACCCCCAGCCTCAAGCACAGAGCTTGAAAGTAGCAGGTGCTTGAAAGTAGCAAGATGGTTAGAATGAAAATTCTGTGCTGGAGGGTGGGAGGGCTCACCTTTGTTTGACCTGGGAAGCAATAAGAATTCAAAGGAGAAAAACTACTTCTGGTGTGGTTCCTGGTAGGGGGTAATATTTATGGAGACTTGGGACAACTTAGTCATGCCAACCTGATCTCAGGGCATTTGGGGTGGATTTAGGAGTAGTGCGAACAAGAGGCAGGGAAATTTAGTCTCACAAACTTCTCGGTGTGTCTCAGGCGTGGGCTCATGAAGGACAGGGCAGAAGAGACATCTGTGCCACCTACGACCCTCCTGGGAGGGGAGCCTACATGCTGCAGAACATCAAAAAAAAAAAAGTTTCTAGAACTTTACAGCTTTCTTGTAATTCCACTGCAAGCAATCTTCCTTGTGTCAACCTTAGATTATTTCTGTTTTAATATTAGTTATTTCCTTTTGCTTTGCTCTCAGAGGGCTAAGATCAACTAATCATGATCCTCTTGAAGGAAGCTTTGTAACTTTCAAAATCCTTTTGAAGCATCACAAAACAGTAAAATTGGCATATTGCCTAGGAAGGGAAGTGACACAGGTCCGAGTGTCTGTCCCAAGAAAATCTGAGACCAGTCCCTAGTCCACATACCCCAGTCCTGTGTGGTCACCGGTGTGGTCAAATGCCACGCAATTGCTTTCAGGAAGCAGATTATTACACCAAATTATGTCTAGTTGTCAGGGTGGGATAATAAATGCCATATATTTTAGAATCTAGGTCAGAGATGACAAGTATAAAGTAGATCCACAGTAACAGAGGGATAATTAAAGTAAGAACAAACGTGATTCATGATTGCTGGAGTTATCTTTGCTCAGAACCCTTCAATTACACCACAGCTGGAATCGCTGGGAACAAAGATTAGATAGCATGCTAGAAACAGCGAGAACAAAGAGATGACCTAAATTAACATCCTTGAGTGAAGGCGGCTTGAGAGAGGGGCTCGGATAGTAGGTGCTGCAGTTCTGCAGCTAAAGGAATGTCCAAGACCGGCTTCAGGAATGACGGGGTGTTTTTTAAGTAGACTCCCAGCTTCAGAGACCCTATGATTTCAAAAGGCCCTTGAGCCTTGGCTGCGACTGTGGGCCAGAACGAGAGAGTTGAGCTTTTAACCCTATCGCACAGTGCCCACTCTTTCCCGTTCTTTCCACAGCTCATCATCTGGGAGAAAGTCTAACAGGAAGACACCAGCAGGGGAAATGTCAACCACAAAAGTCACAGACAGTATCATCAGTCCCTTGGTATCGTCAGTCCCTTGGTGGCCAAAAGGAAAAGAGCAGTTGGTACGTTTCCACCCCCAACAGCTCTGCATCCTCTCACCCACCCCCCGTCAGTGGCCCTGCATTCACCAGTTACTTCCTCCTCAAAATTTATTTTTAACATTTCATCTGCCTTTCAAGGTCAACAGGAGTCCCCGAAGAAAGGTCCCTCAGCAACAACATTCACCCTCCAGCTCTGTATGCGCCTGAGCTGAGTCTGAAAGCTTCCTAAAGCACAGCAGCCCCTCCACAAGCCTCGTGTTGGTGTAAACACAAAAGTTACCTGCTCTCTTCATGCCCACAACACATATCTGTTGGGCTGCTGTGTATAGCAAGGCATTGACAAGTTCCTTTGGTTTACCCAGGACCTTTGCCCCAGCTGCTGCCTGGGGGAGTTGTGTACATCGGGGTTCAGAGAAAGGTACCCGGTGGCTCTGGGGTACCTGCACTGAGAGATGAGGGGGGTGCAGCCGAGACTTGCAACCCCTTAGGAACACCAAGCAGTCCTCTGAGGTCAGAACGCAAGTACGAACCTTCAGGGCTCAGCCAGGCCACTCACGCAGGGGCAGTGCCCAAGGATCACAGACAGAGGAGCAGTGTCCGTACGCCTCCCCCCCCCCACAGTCCCCTCCATCTGCCCATTTCTGTGGGGAGATGGCCTCTGCGCTGCCATTTGATGCCTAGTCCCTTGCACTCTCAGCTGGGGCTCCCCAGTTCAGAAAGAATGCAGGCAGGAGGTTGTGTTGCTGGGGCTCTCACTTCCCCCAAACCACATATGTTTTCCTGTGCCCTGCTGTCATGGGCACAGGCTTGGCTTGGGGGTACCTGACCAGGATTGTCACCTAGAAGGTATCATAGTCTCAGGTCCCAGGAGAACTGCTTACTAGAGGGACAGTGGGAACAGATGAGAATGTTCGGTTACAAAATCAGCTCTAATTTCTTACCCAGAACCAACAGAAATGTTAAGTCTAATTCTCCTTAACACAGGGGTGGCAGCACCCTCCAAACCCAGAGTTGGGGGTGGGAGCTTAGAGGGATGGCTGCCTGAAACTGAACCTTCTGGAGAAAGTAAAGTCCTTTCTGCAGGTGTGGGATTCTTTGTTTATAGACGTGTCATCCTAGTCTTTCAGGAATAAGTCAAGGGATTAAAAAAAAAAAAAAAGAGGTTCTGTGAGAGGGAAATGTTCAGTAAAAAAATGTTCCCCATCAGCAGTGCTGTCCAGGCAGCATGTAAATGTTCTAAGTAGAACCTACTTGACAAATTCAGCACTTCACAGCAAATGAAAGATGGTTTCTTTTTAAAATACTCAACCACAGGTGTTCGCTACCCATTCAGATTCTTTAGCACATTTACCATAAGAGTTTAGTGTCTAATTTATTCATAAGTTTTTTCAGAAACTTGCATTTGAGTGCACATGGGGGTTCGGGGGGCAGGGGAAGGAGGAAGGAAGGGGGAGACTAGAAATGGCCCCCTAGCTCCACCCTGAGAGTTGCCCTGGCTCAAGGCAAAGTTAAAACATGCAAGAGAGAGCACTTTGAAAATTATAAAGCACTAGCCACATGCTAGATAATATAAATATTAAACACCAAATCTTGATTCACCTCAAAATAATGGGGAGAGAGATAAAAGGGAATAGAGAGATCATTGTTGAAACTGGATGGTGTAGAGAGGGGCTCACTATACCATTCTCTCTCCTTTTGTGTATGTTTGAAATTCTGTTTATCAAAACATTTAAAATATTTTTTTTAGTTATCAGAAATTTATTTTTTCAAACAAAAATTATGCTCTGGATATTTATTCAAAGTTACTAATACTTAATACTTGATTTTAATAATGTGCTCATTAAAATTATTGGCTACAGTCAAACATTTTTACTTCTATATGTCAACTTACTAAATGAATTTTAAGCTCTTTTACAAGTGAAATGCCTTAATTTTTTTAACTTTATGGTTTTACATCATTTTTCATTTTGCACAATGTAGGCATTTTCATCTTGGTTATAGTCCCCCTACAATTCCCACCCCCCTTGCAAAACATTTAAAATATTAAAGCAAGGTGGAGGCTTGAATTTTCTCTATAACGCATCTTTGTTCTGTAGATGAGAAAAGCTATTTCAGAGAGGTTAAGTGACTTCCTTGCTGTAACACAGCTAGATGCAGAAATTAGCACCAACATTCTGAACCCCCAGTTCTGGGCTCCTTCTATGGTTCCATAGCAGGGAGACCTCAGGCAGGAGTGGGTTCCTCTGGTCACTGTCCCTACTAGCTCCCAAATTCTTCCAGTGTCTGCGAGCTTGCACGGGGCAGGGAGCCTGCTGGACAGCCCTGGGGGGAGGGCAGAGCTGGGGCCAGAGCCCGAAGGCCCTGGGCACTCTCCAAGGCCAGGGAGGCGGGGCCTGCTCTGTCACTGACACCTGGAGCTAGAGTGGCCAGAGAGCTTGACCTTGGCCTTTGAGACGTGCTCATTGTCCCTTCCCCCACCCAATCTTTCCAACCTACCTCCCAGTGACCTGAAATACCAGGACCGGGTCAGATAAATGTCTGGGCTCGCAGGCTTTCAGGGAAGTGAATTGAATGCATATTTTCCCCACCTGGCGATTTGGAGGGGTGCAGAGGGTGGAAGAGGACCTTGTTTTGAAGGTGTCTCCCCAGCATGTAAGACAAGGAGTTGGGGAACTTGTTCCCTCCCTCCTGAGCCCACTAAGCCAGGGTGAAAAACAAGGACCGTGAGTCCCGGGCCTTCTGCGAGGCACTGCTGTGCGCCAAGTCCTTCTGGCTTTGGGGGGAACACGGGGAGTGAGCGCGGGTGCCAGGTCGGGGGAAGCCTCCGGCGCTCGAGTTACAAGCGCCCCAACCCCTAGCAGGCGGCCAGGCAGGGGAAGGAGAGAGCCCAGCCCCAGGAGCACTGGGACTCTGCACGCCCCTGTCTCAGTCTGGGGCTGTGTCACATTTATTTGGGTCTGGGGGCCCGCCGGCCCTCACCCCCCAGCTACCCTAGCACAGCCCGTGCATCCGGAACACGGGGCGGCCCCTTTCCCCCCACTCGGGCGTCCCTGGGAATGTCACCCCCTCGGCACCGAGCGCCCGTGTCCCTCCCCGCACCTGCTCCTGCGAATCTCCCTCAGGTCCTGTGAGGGGCGACCCACCCCGGCCCCACTTTTCCTCTGTAATAAAGGGCACCCGCACGAGATGTGCTCACCGGACAGTTCCCTCCTCGACCCTGGACCCGCACCCCCCTCCCCGCGCCCCCAGGCCCTCCCCACCCTGGGGCTCCCAGCTCTGCCATCGCGACCCTTAAGTCCCGGCAAAGACGCGCCTGCCCTGCACCCCTGACCCCCGAACCCAGCCCCGCGATCCCCAGAGGCTCACCATCCTGGCTGCTCTCCTCACCGGCTCGCCTCGCAGCCGGGCCTGCCCACCCCAACTGCTCCAGATACAGCCGCCTCCGCTGTTGTGACACTCTGCGCGGGAGGGGGCCGGGGACAGACATGCTGGGCCGGCAGCTGCCCTGCCGCATCACAGTGCCCGGGAGGGGAGGGCCCGGCGGGTCACAATCGCTCCTCCCCGCCCCCCCGCGGCTCAAATCCCGGCCGCCAGGGCCCCTCCCCGCCTCGGTCCAGCCTGCGCGTTTTGGGCACCGCGCGGGGTACCTGCGCGCAAAGCGCACCCCTGCGCTGCGAAATCGCTCCTTGCAATTCTGGCTATTTAGGAAAATGTAAAAAGGAATGCCGTGTACCCCCAAACTTTCCTTCTCTGCCTAACACGAGCTGCCGCGGGAAGGTCGGGCTCAGGCAGGAGGCCGTGCAGCTGATGGCTGTCACCCTCAAGCCAGGAGGTGCAGGAGGCTGGGGGTGGGTGCAGGGCGCCCCCGGAATGGCAGCTCCAAGCTCAGCTCACAGCTTTCTATCAGCGTGTGCTCAAGCGAGCCGTGGAGCTTCTGCAGGAAGCCTATTTCTACCTCTGTCAAGGCCTACCTGGTCACTGGAGAGTTAAATGAGATAATACATGCAACATGGCTGGAACACTGCAGGTGCTCCGTACCTGAGCTCAATACCTTTGCACAATGTGTGCATTTTCATCTGGGTTATAGTCCCCGTACAATTCCCACCCGCCTTGTTTTGATCCTACTGCCTTTCCCTCCACCCCCAGTGTGTCTCTGGTTTATAGTTGCTTGTTGATTTTGATTTTTGCTTTATTATAATTAGTCTTTTTCCTGGTCCCTTATTTAGGTTTTCTAAATTCCTGCTATGAGTGAGGCCATCCAGTATTTTTTCTTTTTCTTTCTGGCTTATTTCGCTGAGCATGATCCCTTCCAGCTCCATCCATGCAGAAACATTAATTCAAAAGGGCACCTGCACCCCTATGTTTCTAGCAGCACTATTTACAATAGATAAGCTATGGAAACAACCCAAATGCCCAGAAATAGATGATGGGACCAGTTGCCACCACCCCTTCAGTGCACGTCATCCCTCCATCATCATTTTCCAGTCTCTAGATCCATCTATCATCCCTATGTTTAAGCCCAGAACGCACAGAATGATACGACTGTTCTGCTGCCTCCTCGCCACGTAATGAGCCCTCCTCTTGGTGATGGTGACCAGCAGGGGCGTCCCCTGCTGGTCCTGTAGGGGGGACTGGGTGGGGGAACAGGACCTGGCCTTGGTTGGTGCCCCTCTCTTCACACTTGAGATTTAGGTCGCATTATTAAACTTCCCTCCCCCCCCAGGTTGGTGGGGAGCTGGCTAGTAACTGTTTGAGTCTGCAAAATTCCCCACCAGAGGCCAATCCCTGCTTCTCCTCTCATTTTCCTGGGGAACCTGACCACCAGCACCAAGTCACTCCAGGCAAATCTCTGGTTTTCCAGGAGACACTACCACATAGAACTGCTTTGACCAGACTCATGGCTCTCCAGGTTTCCAAGTGCTGGTCCAGATTTGCCTTCCCTGCCTAAGAGGAGCCGATCCCTGGCCTGTGGAGAATGAGAAAGTTTTATTCTTTATGAATGTAGCGATGTGGCCTCTGACCTCCAACTGTTTATGCTGAGTTTCCAGAGGACAGAACACAGGTCTGAACCATCTGCGTCAGTGTGAGTACCAAGCACGATGCTTTACCACTGACGCATGGATGCAGAAACTAGTAAATTATGGGTTGAGTCTTTCTGTATGTTGTAGCATAAGAATATTTAGAAGCATGATGAAGCTGCCCAGGACATGGGATATGCTCAGTAAAGGTAACGACTATTATTCATTACGTATTTATTTCTCTTCCAAACTCCCTTAGCATATTCTATAGTACCTTAATTCCATTATATTCATCATTTCCTACTTTGGATTCACACATTTTTACGAAATCACAGCACCTTGATGGCAAGGCTTGTGGTATTCCTCCTGGTGCCCGCCCCATCAAAACTGGCTCATCTGGTGCATCAAATACGCTCAGTGAACATTGTTAAAATAAATTGATTTTTTAAAACTCCATTTCCGAACCAGCAAATACACTATGAGCCGATTCCTAATGTCCCAGGATAAGATGATAGTGATGCTAATGGTGACTATGATGTCATTTAATTGCTTTCATTATGATGCCCTTTGAACATCCTCTTTCCCCTAGGGGAGTGAGATGGAGGGAACCATGACTATCCCATAAATGCTGACTATCCCATCTTTTGGTTCTGAGGCAATAAAAAGAAGAGCAGCTGGATTGTGTCCCCCCAAAAAATATGTTAAAGCCCTAAGTCCCAATGTGACAGTATTTGGAGACATTAAGGCAGGTAATTATGGTTAATGAAGTCATAAGAGCGGGTCCCTATCCAATGGGACTGATACCCCTATAAGAAGAGAGAGACCCCAGCAAATTGCATGAGTTTATCACACTGAAACATTAATTCAAATGGGCACCTGCACCCTAGAATTTGCTATGGTGGTAGAATTTTGCTATGGTGGTCAGAGACAGTGGTCTTAGACAGACAGAGACAGTGGTCTTAGAATCTTTGGAGTGAAAATACCTACTTCATCTTGGTTTTTAAGTCCTGTGTTTTAAAATTATTTTCCTTGCAGTAACCCTGTTCTCTTAGTGAAATTCCCTCATACAACCTTCATCCCATGCCTTTCTCCCTGAGTAGAAGTTTGAAACAAGGAAGGACATGTTTTTAAAGTCCCTGTGGTGATTAAGTCTATGTGTTAATTTGACTGGGTCATGGAGCACCCAGCCATTCAGTCATATATTATTCTGAGTGTGTCCGTGAGCATGGGATGCGATAACATTGGAGTCAGTAGACTGAGTAAAATAATTGCCCTCCCCAGCAGTGGGTGGACTTCGCCTAATCAGATCAAGATTTGAATAGAACAAAAAAGGTCGAGTAAGAAGAACTCTTGCCTGCTTGAATTGGGACATGAACCTTCTGCTGCCCTTGGACTGGAACATACACCATCAGCTCTCCCGGGTCTCCAACTTGCCAACCACAAAAATCTTGGGACTTCTCCATCTTTATAACCAATTAGGCCAATTCTTTATAATTGATTAATTATATGCATATATTTATCATATATAACCATTCAATGTATAATTATGTACAACTTAATTCATGATAATATATCTAATTAATATGGCTCCTATTTCTCTGGAGAACTCTGGCTAATCCAGTGTCCTTTTTGCTGGTAGAGAGACTAAATTCAAACCCAGGCTATTTATAAGAAGGCAATTTCCTACAAGTGTGATTTAGACCTTGAGCTGAAGAAACTAGTCCACCTTTTCTGCAGCCCACTCACTACATATGACTGTGTTTCTTCTTGCATGAATTTTTGTTCTATGGGGTCATGTTCTCAAGTATAATTGTGGTGATGGCCTAATAAGTTCAGCCACACCCATTTGAGTAAGAAGTAGACAATTCCTAGCAATCACCCCAGGGAAGAGATATCTTCATGATATTTATGTACTTACTGACACAGTATTTCCTAACACTGAGTACTTGCTGTGTTCAAACTCTGTGCTAAGTAAGGGTTTATTTCTTTTGTTTCTTACAACAAAGTTCTGAAATTAAAATTTTTATTATCCCCATTTTACAAACGAAGACTCTGAGACTTGGCGATGTTAACTCTTTATCCCGATCACATAACTGGTAAGAGGTGGAGCTGAGGCTTGGGCTCAGTAATCCAACACCAGAGGTTGAGCTCAGATGTTTAATCATTGCCTATGATCTGGACCTGGAAGAACAAACCTTAGTTAGAAAGGACTTGTCCTCATTCTCTTAGCTTAGACTTTGAGAGTCTGAATATCTAGGTGTTCCAGGGGCCAAATATTAAAGAGGAGCCTGGAGGAAGAGATACAAGAAAGTTCTGTTAATTTCCAGACACCCACCACTCTGCTGGGGTGAGCCTATGTATTCCAGAAAGCAAATATCTTATAATCAGATGATCTAGATTTAAGTACACCCCATATTTCATTACCTTTGGCTACCCCCAGCCTTAATCGCATTCACCTTTAAATATTCACATTCCAGTCTTGTTTCTCAAATGCTGCAGGACCTCAGAGAAGAAAGAGCGAGTATCTTGGCCACGGTAATCACTGATGAAGTGGTCCCATTTGCAGCCTGCCTGGTCCTGGCGGCCATAATCACAGAGACACCACCAAAGGAAGGGTGAGCCTCAGGACAAATCTGGAGCCACACAAGGCACTTGTCCCAGACAAGTCTCTCCAAAACCAACCTTGGAGGGTCGGTGATGTGTTGTATTAAGTTGGGAAAGGTCATTGTTTTCCCACTGACCCTTATTCTTCCCCACCTCTTGCTCTTCCCACTGTTGCAGTCCAAGCGGACACTACATTGTGTCATCTCTGCGGTGTTACCAGTGATCCCGGTTAAAATCTCACCGCTGCCTGCCAGGAGGCAGCCTCTCAGTGAGTCACGGAGACTTTAGCAGAAAGATAAACAGTGACAAAAGGAGGCCGGGGGCATTTAGGGCTGGGGGCCTAGGCTAGAATAGCAGGTGCAGAGAAAAGCTAAGGCTGGGAAACTAAGAAAACACTCCTTTCCTTCATAATTGGCTCAGCTGATCAGAGGCTGAAGCCCTGAGCCTCCCTGTATCTGAGGCTGTTCCGGAGCCATCCTCTCCAGCTGCCAGCCTCTAAAACAGCACCGGAGGAGTCGTGTGAGGTACAGTGGTACCATAGGGAAGAGAAGGCAGTCAGATAATGACCTTCCTCTCTCTGAGGTCTTGGATTTCAGTGTACAGTTCATTCTGCACTTGTCAAATATCTTCTCCTATTGGCTACCGAAACAATGAGCTGAATAGCTTCCCTCCCCTGTGCCCCCCAGTTATTTCGCATACTGCTATGAGTATCGCAAAGTGATCCTTTGTTCTGGACCATACCCTGAGTATGTTGAGAGAACTAAGAAACAGTTCTCCCAATTGGAAAACTGTTCCAAGAAAACAACCCATGAAAAAAATAACAGTGATGTTCTACAGCATTTTCTTATGTGATCCTTTTAGCATAGTTG